TGAATTCCGAGCCTGTGCGTGCCCGGAGGCAGGAACACAACAGCTACAAGATGGAAACACAAAGTTCAGCAAGCAAATTCCACTCTTCCCTGGGTGGGAGGCTGGAGGCAGTGGCTCGTGGAAGTGCTGCTTGATTTGTCTCCACTTCCAGAGGGAGGCTGGGGGAGATGATGGTTCTGGAAGTTGTTCCACTGGGTCACTTAGAGTAGAACTTGGGCAAGGCATTCTTGGCAGTTTGAGAAGCTGACAGCCCAGCCCTGGAAGTGTCCCCAGGCCAGGTTGGACAGGGCTTGGAGCAACCTGGGAGAGTGGAAGGTGTCCCTGCCCATGGCAGGGGTGGGACCCTTAGAGCTCCTCCAGTCACACCCCTGGCATGGGCAGGGACACCTTCCAGGTTGCTCCAGCCTGGCCTTGGACACTTCCAGGGATGGGGCAGCCACAGCTGAAACCTTGTAAATAGTAGGAGCCCTTTGGAACAAGACTTCAGGATAGGGGGGTCTGTGATATGGGTGAGAGATTAAAATAACTCTGCTGAGCCTTCCAGCGGAGCTGCCAGGAAGATGGATTTTACTTATCCCAACAAACAGGTTACTCACTGCGTACACAAGGATTCTGAGCATGAAGAGGAACAGATGGGGCAGACCCTGAGTGTGGCAGATCAGCTGTGCCTGGAACACCAAGAGATCTAAACAACCCTTTTACAGGAAAATGATGTGTGAATTAAAGGAACACGGCTGATTTGCTGTGGGATGGTTTGAAGATCTCCTGGGATGTCCAGCTACAGGAAAAACCCTTTTCCTTGGCTGTAGTGCAGCTGTGGGATTGGTGAGGCTGTAGTCTGCTCCTTCCACACCTTCCTGGGAGCAAACTGCTCACCTTGGAGAGTCCTCTGAGGCTCCTCCAGGGATCCAGACCTGGAGTCAGGCAGGCTGGTGTCACCCCATGGCTGCTGCCTCAGCTGTTTAACAAACACAGGGACCTTCACAGCTCTTTCTCAGCTGAAAGATTGTTTGGAATCACGGTGGAATCACAGGATCAGTGAGGTTGGAAGAGCCCTCCCAGCCCATGGGTCCCCCCTGTGCCCGATGCCCACCTTGTTCCCAGCCCAGAGCACTGAGTGCCACGGCCAGAGGTGGGCACTCCAAACCTCCCTGGGCAGCCCCTGCCAGTGCCTGACCACCCTTTCCAGGAGGAAATTTAGTGCATTTTTAAGCCTCTGCCTTCCCAACCCTCAGTCATTGCTCAGTTTTGCCCTTTCATCCTAAAAGTTCATGTCCAAATCCATCTTCTGTGTGCTCTGGGAGTGTCTGATTTGCATGGCAGTGGAAGCAGTGCATTGAGGTGCATCTCGATGATGATTCTTTGATGCTTCCTGGCTGACTTTGTTCCAGGTGAATGTTCCAGTGGTGTAGGGAGCATCTGTCTCCCTGAGCTGCTCGATGAAGGAGTGTCCTTCGTGATTTGCTTTCTACCCTTGGTGCAGAATCTGTACAATATATTCATTTTCCTTTTGTCTTTGTTAACTCTCCGGGCCCTGGGAGTCTGGGAATTGGTGTAGTTTGGCTGCTCTAACAGCAGAGATGGAAAGGGAGAGGTTCCCAGGGGTGTTCTGACCCACCTGGGCTGTGGGGGGTTGCTGCAGCCTCTGGGTGAGGGTGGTTTGTACCAGGTGCTTGTCTGAGGCACCGGCTCTGTGTTTGCTGCAAAAATGCAAATTGGCTTTTCTTAGTTACGCTGATTTATTTTTATAACATAGTTATAACAGCATTCCCTGTTTAGCTAAATATGGACAAGGAAATGTCCTGCTGATAAGGCTGCATGACCTCATTATTATTTTTCCTCGGAAAGTAGATCACTTCAGTGTCCCAGTTCCCGTGCAGGTCTGAAATAGCAACACTGTCGATGCCATCAAACCCCTAAAATGCCATATATTTTATGGCAGCAGTTTCATCAAGTGCTGCCACGTTGATGTGGACACAAAACCCTCCCCACAATCTGGACCCAGAAAAGCACGATGTGAATTATCGTTTGTTTGCGGTGGAATATTCACATGTTGGAGGATGGTCTGGGTGGGATTAGCCTTGATTTAGGTTTAAGAATTCCTAACTGCTTCCTGCTCACGTGGAGTGAGGGAAGCAGCTCCTGCTGCCACCAGGGCTCTGGTGGCATTTCCTCCATTAATTATAGTGCAGTTAATGGTGGAGTCATTAAGGCTGGCGAAGACCTGTGAGATCATCGAGGCCAACTGTTGTTTAGGGCTGGACAAAACGTGCTTGAATATCTCAGGACTAAATAATTTCTGGGCCACCTAAACACTGAGCACTGGAGTGTGTTCGCTGCAGCCTTTGCTTGTTTATTCCCCGGGTTTTGGGGAGTTCTGGATTTTCTGACTGTAGTTTTGATTCCTGTGTTTTCTGGAGGCAGGATGGGGCCGTGGGTCAGTGCTGGGGGACAGTTGGGCTCGATGATGATGAAGTGGCCATTCATGAGCCCCATTCCTTCCTCTGAAGAGCAATGCACAGATAAAACTCCTGGCAGTGGCTTCCCTGGCTGACACTCCCTGCAGGGTGATGTGGCCAGCTGTGGGCACATCTGGTTAATGGTTTGTCTTGAAAACAGTCAAGAACTCTGAAAGAAACTTTTTTCCCCATAAGACTATCATTTAAGTGTGAAACAAGCATTTTTACCAACCATAACTCACTCAGCTGTGACCCCACACAGGGGATTAAAAACTCCAAACCTTTCACCCCTGAAAAATTCCAAGGGGTGATTCAAGACCTTTATCTAAACCAACAGAAAGTGCATTTGCTGCCTGGAGTGTGATCTGGCTGCAAGTCTGACCTTTCATTGTTCAGAGAATGAAAAAGAAGAGGTTTAACTGAATTAGTTTCCATAATAGACTTGCCTGGCCTTACAGAGACCCCGCTGTCAGTGGGATCCCACTGTCCCTGAGGAATGTGAGTGCCCTGGAGAGGCTGGAGCCCGTAGGTATTTGTCGGTGGCCCTGTAGTGCTGACAGGGAATTTCCTGGAGTTCAAGGAGTAGGAGCCTTTGTTCCTGTGGAACAAGAGGGTCAGTGTTCTGCCACCCCATGGAAGTCAGTGACCCTGGGCTGCTGCACAGTGGCCACTTGGGTCACCCCTCGTTAACCAACACACAAGTGCCCCTTGTGTTCCCTGGGCTGTGCCTGGGCCTTGTTATGGCTCCAGTTCCGTGTCCTCAGCTCCAGATCCTCCTGGAGAGAGGCTGGATCCCTCTGCTCTGGAGCCAGGCTGGGACAGCTGGGGGGGTCACCTGGAGAAGAGAAGGATCCAGGGAGACCTGAGAGCCCCTGGCAGGGCCTAAAGGGGCTCCAGGAGAGCTGGAGAGGGACTGGGGACAAGGCATGGAGGGACAGGACACAGGGAATGGCTTCCCACTGCCAGAGGGGAGGGAGAGATGGGATATTGGGAAGGAATTGGTGGCTGGGAGGGTGGGCAGGCCCTGGCACAGGTTGGGCAGAGAAGCTGTGGCTGCCCCTGGATCCCTGGAAGTGTCCAAGGCCAGATTGGAGCAACCTGGGCTGGCGGAAGATGTCCCTGCCCATGGCAGGGGGTGACACTGGATGATCCTTAAGGTCCCTTCCCATACAAACCATTCTGGAATTCTAGTGTGGCTTGGTGGTTCTTGTCTCAGTACAGTGGGAACTGATTCTGAAATGCTGGATCGCTTTCCCTGAGCTCCTTCAGGTCTTTGTTTTTTGTTGTTGGAACTCTAAACTTCACTTCCATGTTCATGTTCCCTGATAATTCCCAACCAGGCACTGCTGCACCGGCTCCCTGGCCTCCTAAGGGAGAGTCAGTCATTCCAGGGGGAGTCTCTGCAGTTTGTGCATCAGTCAGAGCAGCATCAAATCCCTTTGCACTTCCAAACCTCCACCAAAATCCAGGGAAGCTGAACTGCCATAGCAGGAGCTGGAAACGCCCCAGTTTGGATACTCTTGGCCCTTCTGGTTTGGGGTTTCTCCAGTCTGCAGCAGGCAGTTTCTGCAGATGGAGCTGTTGATCCCTTCGCTGTGCAGCAGCTCTGGCTGACTCTGCTCTGAGAGAACGTGGCAAAATGGGCCTTTTCTCGCTCGAGAGTGGTGGCTTTGCTCCCTTAGACAGCTCTCCTCAAATTCCCAGCAGTTTTTGCTGGCTCTTGTTCCCAAGAATAACTTCAAAAGGATGGAACGCGATAAAAATAAGTGCTTGGTGATGGGTGTGCGTTGTGCCAACCTGGAGGGTTGAGATGAGTCAGCTCAGGTGCATTTTCTGTTGGGTGCCAGGAATTAAATCAAATACAGAGATGCAAATCAGGGAGGGAGAGAGAAATGGTGATTATTTCTCCTTCATTTCCAATTCATAGCTGTGGATATAATGCCTACATGTGCTCTTGGCTGTATTTTTTCATATAAACGTTATTAAAATGTCGCCTTCCAGCCCAAATCCCGGGGCTGGGGGGGGGTTGTTGGTATTAGTGAGGTTTGCTGAGGACAGAAACATGCTGCAGGACCCTCTCCAGGGGATCAGAAGCCTCACTGCAGTATATATACATCGGGGATTATGGAAAATCCTAATCTCCATAGGGGAAGCTGGGTGGAGCCAGCCCCAGAACTAAAGTCTCCTGCGTCATTGATCTACCGAGGGTGTGTAATTAACCCTGAGCTCGGGGGCAGGGCACCAATCAAGGTCACCCCAGGGTTATTCTGACCAGGTACCGGGAGGTTTATTTTTTAACAGCTTTTATTGAAGGTTCTTCTGATAAAACACCCCATGTAATGTAACATCCATGAGCTAAACCCTGATTTAGGTGATCCTTTCTGCACTGGTGTGTGGGGGGGTTTATGAACATCTGGGAATTATCGAGCACCGAAGCAAACGTTCCTCACCGTGTAAAAGGCACAGAGTGGTCAGCACCAACCTGGGGTCACCATGAAAGGTCTCTCACTGAGGTGTTTGTCTCTTCTCCCCCCTCCCCACGTGGTTTTGCAGGTTGCGGAGGTGCCGAAATGGCCGAGCTGGAGCACAACCTCAGCCTGGCGGACGCTCTGACGGAGCCGCCCCACGAGATCGAGGAGGAGGTGAAAAGGGACTTCATTGCCACGCTGGAGGCAGAGAAATTCGATGACGTGGTGGGAGAGACGGTGGATAAAACAGACTACGTGCCCCTGCTGGATGACGAGGACGAGAAGCCGGGCAGCCAGGAGCCCAGAGGCAAAGGCCACGCGGACGGAGTGCAGGTGGAACGTAAGTGCCCCAAGCACCAGGCCAAGAGCCACCAGGGAACCCTTCTGCTCGCTGGGACGGGGCCCAAACAGGCCTGGGTCTGCTCTGGGTTAGTCTGAGCAGCTCACCCCAACAGCAGAGGTGGAGATCAAATCCTCTTTGTTGCTTCTCTGCTCTTCAGCCTCTAAAATGAGCCCTCATTGCTGGGCCACAGGAGCTGCTGGGGTAAAACGTTATGGAAATATTACTGCAATAGTAATCTTTTGGGGTTCTCAGAAAAGGCACTGTCCCTATCCTGGGCTTTGCAAACACCATTTCCCAAACTATCAGAGCTGTGCAAGGTGCCACAACTCTGGCTGGTGGCAAATCCAAGGGGCAAAGGGGGATGTGGAGCTGTTGCTCTTCATCACCTCTTTGGGAGCTCCACACCCAAATCTTGTGTTTCTGATGCAAGTGTTTATTTATTTGGATTTCTTGCTGCCTGTAAGCGCTGGTTGTGTGCATTTTTAGTAGAACATGGTGCTGTCCCTGCTGGCTGTGGATGTTTTCTATCACAGTTGATACTCAGAATCACAGAACCATTAAGGTTGGAAAAGACCTTCCAGACCATCAAGTGCAGCCATTCCCCCCCAGCACTGTGACACCCTTGTGTTTTAAACAGAAATTCCCTTCCTTAGCAGAGGAAAAAGGAAGACAGTAAGATTTGGGGCCATCTATCAGATTTCTTTCCCAGTGAGCAATTTAAATTCTTCCCCTCTTAGCCTGGGTTGTGTTCCCTGTCCAGCCAAGTGGGAGTTGTCACCTGGGACCAGCAGTGCCTTGATGATTTTATTTATTTTGTGGCCTCAGTCTGTGCTGTGTAGAAGAAAACCTGTGCTCTGATAACCTGGTGACTTCTTTCACAAGAAAAATTTTTCTTTTTTTACCTTAATCCTGCTGCTCATCAGTGTTGAGAAAAGGGGGATGTGATTCCTCAGAATAAATAAAAGCTCCAGGATCAGAGAGTGGGGAATTCTGGTCTGTTTAAGGCATTTATTTATTTTGTGTAGAACTGTATCAGATGCCTTGTAATACAGAAAAGGTAACTTTGAATTTTCCATACTGACCTAAATGATGAAATGGTAACAAATGGGTAGAAGGATGGAAGTGAGCAAAGAGATTATAAAATGTGGAGCTTTGGGCAGTTTAGATGTGTATTATTATATTCAATTATATTTTGTATAACATGTATATTATGTTATATAAATATATTTATATAATATAAAATACATATTTATATAATACATTATGTTATATAAATATGTAATTTATATAATGTAAATATATATTTTAACGTTCCACAATTGGGAATAACAGGAAAACTTGAATACTTATTAACACTTTGCATACAATTTAAGTATATTTTAAAATGATCCTTTTGTTCTAGAAGCTGCAGATTCTAAACCACCTCAGCACCAGGGTTTTCTCAGTGCTAAAATTGTTAACAATATTGGTTTAAAATAAAAGCTCCTTAAGTGTGTCCTCCCAGACATGCACCCCTGGAACTTTACTGTCCCAGCTCACAATTTCAGATTAACCTGAGGATCTTGCCGTGGGTGTAACGAGGCCTTTTGGGTTTGCTCAGTAATTAAAACTGGCTGAGCTGCCCCGGGAGGGAACTGCTGGGTCCTGTGTGCACAGCTCAGGCAGGAATAGCACAGTGGGGAGGACTCAGGAGAAGAATTTGAGGAGGAATTTCCCCCTGGAAAGGGTGGTCAGGCCTTGGCAGGGGCTGCCCAGGGAGGTTTGGAGTGCCCAGCCCTGGAGGTGTCCAGGGAAGGACTGGAGTGGCACTCAGTGCTCTGGGCTGGGGGACAGGGTGGGGATGGGGCACAGGGGGGGACTCTGTGACCTTGAGGGGCTTTTCCAGCCTCGGTGATCCTGGGATTCTGTGACCTCTTGGCTTTTCTAACCCGTGTCCCCTCCCCTGGGTGCACAGCCAGTCCTGGGGCAGCTCGAGCAGAGCTCGTTTCCCTCCTGCCTGGCGGTGGGGGGGGAGGAAGATGCAATTTCTCGTTCTCGCTTTGGAGATTTGTTTTTCCCTTTTTTGGGATGGCTGGAAAGCGGTTCTGGGAATTATCTAAATCCTTGGCAAGATGCAAACAAGACCCTAAACTGAAGAAACTGGAGAACTTGCCTTGAGTGGGGTTTGTCAGCTCTCCCACCTTGAGCTGGGAGGGGACTAAACCACGCTCAGTCACCACAGGCTGGTCTTAGGATTTGATCCTGGAACGTCCCAGTTTGTCTCACCTATTTTTGAGGAGGATTTCTGTTTCCTTCATGAGGTTTATTCAATGTTTGTAACACAGTAAAGCTGAACGTGCTTTCTTTGTGGAGGCAGCAGAATGAAGGAGCCCTGGGAGGTTCCAGGGGGTGGTCGTGCAGTGTGTGAGGGCAACACCAAGTTTTTGGGGTTTTCAGGCCTCCATGAGTTCCGTGTCCCAGGCTGCAGACAGACCTGTTTTCCTGAGGGGTGAGCAGCCTGCCCAGATCAGGCTTTGCAGCCTCTGCTTGTTAATTTATTTATGTTAAAAGGCACCGATGTGCTCCGACAGCACGGGCTGTGCTCCTGAGATTGTCTTTCCCCAGTCAGAAGAGGTTTAATCATCCATCCTGTCAGGCTCTAGCTGGTCCAGCTCTGCTCAAGGGTTTTCTTTCCCTTGTTTCCTAAACCTGGGAGCAAGTTTAGGTGGGTTTATTGTTCAACTGGGCCCCGTGGTGGGGCACAGAGAGATGGAGAGGAGCAGGGAGATGTGATGAGCAGTCGTGTGGTCACCTCCAAATCCACCCTGGAATAAAGCTTTACTAACAGTTAACTTGGGAAATACGTAGGAAAGGCATAGCTTGGGGAGAAAGGGGTTTACTCTTCCTTGCACCTGGCTGGACAAAGTAATTTGGCGAATTCTGGGATAATCCCCCTGTGACCTTG